TTTTTTACCCGGTATAGACAGGGATCAGTATATTTTTACCATCAATGTTTATCTCCAAATTTATAATTGCTGATGCTAAAACTGGGATTCCCTGAATATCTGTTTGCCTTACAGTGAACGTTGCAGACATGGACGATTTCGTTAAACCAAGAAAGGAGATAAAGAGATATAGAGGAAGGGCCCAAAGATAAGTAGATGTAAAATAACATTTACATCTCTTTCTATACAACAATCTTGCTAGTGGCAGTCCTTGGTATGTTTTTGTTATATGGCATCGTTTTTCCTTAGTCAAGGATGTACATGTATATTTTCAAACACAAGTGAATTCTTTTTTTATTAAAGGCTTTTTAATAAGATTTTATCTATTTGAGATAGAGCAAGAGAGCAAGAGAGAGCACAAGAAGGGCAGAGGGGCAGAGGGAGAGGGAGAAGCAGATTCCCCATTGAGCAGGGAGCCCGATGCCGAGCTTGATCCCAGGACCCTGAGATCGTGATGACCTGAGCCAAAGGCAGACACTTAACCAACTGAGTAACTCAGGCAGGAGTCCCTTTATTAAAGATTTTTATTTATCTGTTTGACACAGAGACAGAGAGAGAGAGCACAAGCAGGGGAAGCAGCAGCAGAGGGAGAGGGAGAAGCAGACTCCCCACTGAGCAGGGAGCCCCATGCGGGGCTTGTTCCCAGGACCCTGGGATCATGACCTGAGCCGAAGGCAGTCGCTTCACCAACTGAGCCACCCAGGTGCCGCAAGTGAATTCATCTTGATGAAGCACTGAAACCATATTCTTAGCACCCTGTCCTTTGAGAACACTTCCTATTCACCTCTGCTGCTTCCTAGGACATACCTTGGGTCCATCCCTCTGTTACATGTTTAAGTGTAGATCCCTCTACTCTTGGAAGAGGTGGGCCTGTGTTTGATCTTCAACTGTAGCCAGAGGTAGCAGATGCAAGGCAAAACCATTGCATCGGCTTTGATACTAAATATTTGTATTATTGCCCTCCGGTGTTTTCTCATTGTGCTCAACGAATCTGTGCTCTTTTAAAAAAAAAAAACCTGATCGACGAGAGTAAAAGAAACCACACTTTTGAGTGCGAGAGAAGAAAACCACATAGCTAGCTAGGTAAAATAAATATCTGTTTCTCTAGCTTTTAAAACAAACAAAAAAAACCCCACATGCGTATTTAAAACTCTCATTGTGCAGGCCAGCAAGGTTTCATAGGGAAGCATTTAAGTGGAGCAAAGGGAGAGGGGAAATGGGCTTCCTCTTCGGTCAGAAGCACCACGTAGCAGATGCCCGCGGGGGCCCAGAGGGTGACCCTGGGGCACAGATGGATCATCTCCACTCACAGAGAACTTACAGTCTAGGGAGGAGAGACAGACCATCAAAATTTAGGCAAATGAGGAGGATTTCAGGAACAAGGAACTGTGTAAGTGTGTTGGTTAGCAAAGACTTGAAGTCAGCATCTTTTTCTAATTTACATTTTGAAAGTCTCTGGCTGCTCAGTGAGAAGAGATTGGAAAGGGGTTTGAACTAGGCTGGTATCCGTGCAGATGGAGGCAAGTGGGGGAGGGGAGAATGGAAGGCTCTTGGTCATGGGTGGGGCAAGAGAGGATGGTTTGGCAGGTGAGGGCCAGCACCTCCCCCCCCCCCCCCCGCTTGAGCAAATGGTTGGAAGAGATGCTCTTCATGAAGGTAGAATGGAGAAGGAATGCTTTGGGAGCACGAGGGAATCAAGGGTTCTCTTTTAGACACGTTGCATTTGCAATGCCTGCAAAATAGCCGAGAAAGAGGAAAACCTTGAATGCATTTGCAAAATGAGTCCGGGAAAGAGGTCAGAGTGAGTTCTAAGTGTGGAAGTTGCTGGCACCTGGGGGCTATCTGAAGCCTGCGGGAGTGGGTGAGCTCACGGGGCGCTGAGGGTGGAGCAAAGGAGAAAAACGTGATCCAGGACTAGCCCTGAGATATACCAGGCCTTTAAAGGATCTGGTAGAGGATGTGGAACTGACAGATGAGCCTGAGCAGGAATGGCTAAAGGCAGTTAATTTGCAAGGGCGGGGGGGGGGGGAATCATTATTTCATGGTCACAGACCACACAGCCCTGGCTAGCAACTCTCAGCCACAACCCCCCCATTGGCTCCAAGGAAGCCTTCACTCGTGCTAGAAAAGAAATCCACTGCACGCATGTCCTCCCTGCCCAGGGGGAGAGAGAGCTTCAGCCTCCCTTTCCAGGATGACTGAGCTGGATATAACCCAAAGAAGAAAACGAAAGGAGGAAGTGGCTTCTGTGTTTCTAGAACAGGGTTTGCAGTTCCTCTGGGGCAACTGGGAGAGCCTCAGAAGTCAGCTTCTCTGTCCTGGTTGAGACTTGTTACTGGTAAATGGGGAGCGACCTTGTTGGCCGTGGCCTTGCTTTTCACACTTTCTCTTGTGGGAGGTTCAAGGGCTACTACATGAAAAAAAATTTTCCTTTGTCTTTATGTTTGAAAGCAAATGGAACATTGAGGTTTAATGAGCAGAGGAGCTTCAAAGAGATGCAAAGTTTCAAGTCCAGGCTTGGAGAGAGGAGCATGAAGGATTTTTACTCCTCTCCTTCTGGTTCTGGTAATTTCATAGTGTACAGTGTTTCCATCGAATAGACATTGTAGTAAATCCCAGATGGGTGTTGGGAGACTGTGTCACCTCCTAATAGATTCAACACAGAATAACCTTTGAACTTTAGGTAAGTTTCTGAAATCACATTATTTACCGGGGATCTGAAATTTGGGGGTATCCCTTCCTGTATAAATCAGGTTTGTTTATTGAGATCCATATTGTAAGTTCTGCAGCGGAAGATGGTCTCTGGTCTTAATGTGGTAACAGTAACTACATGTGTGCCATTTATTTTGATACAAACTATTTAATGTGGATTAACCCATACACTCTTCTGCAAACCTTTAGGAATAGAAATGGGTGTGACTGATGAAAATATGAAACGGCTTGGAAACCTTCACAAGTTGGCCGTTTGTCATGCTTTTTCGCTTTCCTTTTCTTTCTCAAAATACATTTCAGCTCTTCTGCAGTTTCAGTTCGTGTTTCAGACGTTTAAATACCGACAGTTATGAAGGCACAGCTTCTGGTTCAGTGAAGGCGTTCTTTCAGGGCGTGTGGCCCTTGTATTAATGAACAGCATCCTGGTCAGTAGGAACCACTTGGCACTACCTGGAATATATCCCGTGAGCTACTCTGGCCCAAGCGTCAGATCGAACATGACAGTCCCATGGAGGGAGTGTCTCTTCTTAGACACCCTCCTAGCCTGGATTTGGAAATAGGTGCCTTTTCGCTTTCTGCCGCTAGCCTGTCCAAACTAGAAATAATTGTATATCGCTAATGCCCTGACTCCTTCCTACTATCTGTTATTTTTAGTCTTTTTATCTTCCATTACTAAATGACTGCTTTCCAACACCCAGACCTGGGCTTATGCACTGGCATACAAGAGGCAACAGCTGGGCCTGGACCCATAGTGGGGATAGAGACCCCAAAAACTCCAGCTCGGAGGACCCAGAAGGGAGGGAGAAAGCACAGTTTGGTGGAGTAGCATGCACAAAGTTGGGGGGATGGAAATTTAGGGGAAAAACTAAACTTGGTTTGGGGAGTGAACATGTATTGAGCATTTTCAGTGACCGGCTGGAAGCTAAGAGCTTCACACAGCATTTCGTACTTAATACATACAACGATTATTACGTGTATCTTACACCTCTGTCAAATTAAGTGATGGTAATTTCAAAAGCAAACTCTAAGCCTCAGCTTTTTCAGCGTATGTTATTCATGGAGCACATTTCATTAGCTCATAAATGTGTGGTTATTGCCATAGAATGTATAAACATTTCAAGGGAACCAACAATGGCCATTCATCAGAAATAGCAAGTGACAAGGCACTCTCCACCGAATGAATGTTCTTTTCTAAGACTCAACTTCTGGGAGTTGAAATTTGGGGTGGTTAGGATGACCAAACTGGAAGGGGCGGGCCCATGTCTCAGGAAATTTGACTTTCTGCAGCTGAAGTTTAAAGCAGGGCTTTCCTTGGGACGCCTGGGAGGCTCAGTGAGTTAAGCGTCTGCCTTCAGCTCAGGTCATGATCCTGGGGTCCTGAGATTGAGTTCCGCATTGGGCTCCCTGCTCAGTGGGGAGTCTGCTTCTCCCTCTGCCTGGAGCTTCCCCTGCTTGTGCTCTCTCTCTCTGGCAAATAAGTAAATAAAATCTTAAAATAAAGCAGGGCTCTCCTTTTGATTTGCTTCCATGAATTTGCTACTTGACTCAGTGTGGCTTTGCTATTTATCCTTCTTACATTTAAAGGGGTTTCTTTAAATTGTTCTTGATGACTGGTGCCCAGAGGACAGTTGTGGAGTTGATTTTATATTTTTGGTGTATTTCTTATAAAACTCAACTGGGGGGAAATTGCATCAAAACTCACTGCCTTGTGAGATGTGCCATTCTTATAATCAGAAAAAGTTATATTTGGAAAGGTTGTCACCTTCAACTGCTAAACAAAGTACTGAGTGTATAGCAGAAGGTATAAAATACTTGAGTTGCCAGAGACCTTAAAGATGATGCACAACAACCTATTCTTTTCAGAAAGAGAGAACCTGGGGCGCCTGGGTGGCTCAGTTGGTTAAGCATCTGCCTTGGGCTCAGGTCATGATCCTGGGGTCCTGGGATGGAGCCCTGCATCAGCCTCCTTGCTCAGTGGGGAGCCTGCTTCTCCCTCTGCCTCTTGCTCCCCCTGCTTGTACTCTCTCTGTCAAATAAATAAGTGAAATATTTTTAAAAAAAAGGAAGAAGAAAGAAAGAAAGAAAGAAAGCAATGAGAACCTGATGCCCAGAAATGTAGTAAAATTTTTAGTCCTTTTCTGAACAGAAATTAATATCAGTAGATGGAAGGCAACCCTATAGTGGGAAAGTGAGAGGAATATCCTCCTTAATATGTTTTGTTTTTTTTTTTTTAATTTGCTTCTTTGTAGTGGCCACAGATGTCTTCAATTCCAAAAACCTGGCTGTGCAGGCACAAAAGAAGATCTTGGGGAAAATGGTGTCCAAATCCATCGCCACCACCCTCATCGATGACACGAGCAGCGAGGTGTTGGATGAGCTCTACCGGGTGACCAAGGAATACACCCAGAACAAGAAGGAGGCAGAGAAGATCATCAAGAACCTCATCAAGACCGTCATCAAGCTGGCCATTCTTTACAGGAATAACCAGTTCAACCAAGACGAGCTGGCGCTGATGGAGAAATTCAAGAAGAAAGTCCACCAGCTGGCCATGACCGTGGTCAGCTTCCATCAGGTGGAGTACACCTTTGACCGGAACGTGCTGTCCCGCCTGCTGAACGAGTGCAGAGAGATGCTCCACCAGATCATCCAGCGCCACCTCACGGCCAAGTCGCACGGACGGGTTAATAACGTCTTTGACCATTTTTCCGATTGTGATTTTTTAGCTGCCTTATATAACCCCTTTGGGAATTTTAAGCCCCACTTACAAAAACTCTGCGATGGTGTCAACAAAATGCTGGACGAGGACAACATCTGACCATGTGAATTAAGACTGCAACCGCTCATGATTTCTTTGAAAATGGAGCACTGCTGATTTATGAAGGAAAAACAAATTTTTTTTTTTAAAGATGACCCATGTTTCAGAAAGACTTTTGCTCGCCTCAGGCGTCAGACGTTGTCAGTAACGTTTTGTGCAGCTTGTTTTATTTGAAGAAAAGCAGATTGCCAAAAATTCTGGTGAAAAGCTCCCTCCCTCACAGCAGATCGTAGGAAAGGTGTCTGGTTGTATGATGCAAATATAGAGTTATGCAAAGAAAAATATGGATGTCTCCAAACCTCAAGACATATTTTTTTAGGTCAGTTGTTGTGTTGGTAGCACATTGGGTATTTCTCACGTGTACAGAGTTGTGTACTTTGATTCACTATTATTCCTTACTGTGTATATGTACCTCTGTTAAAAAGCTGAGAACTCTCTCTTGCTGTCATTGCTCCCTTTGAGATGATTTCATTTTCAAGTCTACCTTTTGTTCTGTGTTCCTTTGTTAAAGTTTTTGTCATTGACATTTAAGAATTAAGTCTTCATCGAGAATTAAGACGTTCAAGAATTGAGGCGGTCAGATTGAACCCTCAGAAAAACAGAAAACTGCTTGTTTGAAATCAGTATTGTAGGAACCAACTATATTTGATATGGTGAATAATGTCTGATAGACGGACATGCTTCGGGACTGGAGTCCTGTTTTTTAGTACCAACGGTGATACTCCGAAAAAGCGGTAATTGTTGAAAATGTGCTATTGGAATCTCTGGTTTTAGTATCCGTTTCAGATGTAAGAGAGACAAAGAAAAATCTAGATGGTTCTTGTGAAAGGTCAGCAATACTGAGAAAAGTACAACCATCTTTATTTTAGAGATGAGCCCATCAAAATAATTTAGGGGCATAAAGGGCCAAAAAGGAAGAAAGCATATTGCTGTGGGCCATGAGAATGAAAATAAATGCATTTCAACGTTGAATAAGGTTTGATAGGTAAATAAAGAATGTCACTTTTTTATTTAACTGATAAGGTCTTTACTATTTTGTTATTTGCTATTTTGATGAGTAAACCAAAGAATATTTGCATTCTAAGCACTTTGTGTGTTGTTTCTATGTAATTTTATGCGTGTGGATGATAAAGTAAACATCTTATTTTATAAAAAAAAAAAAAGAAACAAGCAAACAAAAACCTGCCGGCCAACTATCAGGAATTAACAGACTTAACTACCAGCCCCCAATATTTGCACTGTCTCTGTGTCCATGATTTATAGTGTACTCGTTTGCCTTGAATTTGCCTGCCTCCCAGAAGATTGACATTAAAATAGGAGTTCACCAGGGAAGGTCCTACAACCTAAAAATTCCAGAGGTTGTGATCCGCTTTAACCCACCCCACCCTAAAGGAGGTGGTCAGTTTCCCTGGGTCCCTCATGTGCTTGTCCCAGACAAGCAGCAGAGACCAGAGTGTCTCCCTGTTTTATATAAAATCCTCAACCCCCAGATTCGAACTGAAATTACCATTCTCACTTCCCAGAGTGGGCAGGTGACTTTTTTGTTTGTTTGTTTGTTTAATATTTTATTTATTTGACAGAGACAGAGCAAGAGAGGGAACACAAGCAGGGGGAGTGGGTGAGGGAGAAGCAGGCTTCCTGCGGAGCAGGGAGCCCGATGTGGGGCTCGATCCCAGGACCCTGGGATCATGACCTGAGCCGAAGGCAGACGCTTAATGACTGAGCCACCCAGGCGCCCGGGCAGGTGACTCCTATATGTTGTAGCAAGAGCATAGTTTCATATCCTGCTAAGCTGCTTATTAAGTTTAGTTCAGCGGAGGTATGCAAAATGGATTCCCAGGCCAGTAGGTGGGTGCTTCTTGCTCCTCTCTAGCCATGGACAGGACCAGCTAGAGAGACAGGGAACCTGAGGATAAATTTTGATCAGGCTGGGCACATTTGGATCATAGAGTTGTGCCTGCAGGCTAGCAATCAAATATTTATAAAGGAGAGAGAGCAACCCCTAATCTCACACAGAAGGAAGGCAGTGAGGACTATCCAGAAGGGGGGAGTCCTGTTTTTAAATTGATTTTTAAAACTCATGCCGATGGCTTTTCTGCAAACATTAGGAGTTACTACAACAGGTGAGTGATAATACTGGTGTTAACAGCCGACACGGAGTGGTTATTAGGTGCCAGACACATTAACTCATTTATTCCCTACCATGACATTTACTGTTTTACACATGAGGGAACTAAGGCAAGAGAAGTTAAGGAATGTGCCCAAGGTCACAGAGCTATTAAGTGTCAAAATCAGGGTATCAATAAAACCCTATTTTAATTTAAATATAGTATGGATGGGGCATCTGGGTGGCTCAGTCTGTTAATCGTCTGCTTTCAGCTCAGGTCACGGTCCCGGGGTCCTGGGATCAAGCCCGCCTTGGGCTCCCTGCTCAGCGGGGAGCCTGCTTCTCCTTCTCACTCTGCCCCCCCACCCCCTGCTGATGCTCTCTCTCTCTCTCACTCTCAAATAAATAAATAAAATCTTTAAGCAAATAACTGTGGTATGGATAAAGGCCATTCTAGAAACATCGTTGCTTCAGACCACAATGGGCGATGTGTTCTGAAATGGTTTTTCACATAGTGACATTTGAGATGGTATTTAAATCAGACAGGTCTGACCTATTCTCTAAAGATCTGGGTATGATTTGATACAGAGACATTTTACGAACTTTTGAACACAGCTTCTAATTTGGGGACATCTCGTGGCTCGAATGTCAGACCCCTCCAGAACTTCAATTCACGGTGCTCACAACCAACGATGACTTTGAACCCTGATCCGTGGGGCACAGTGTGTTCCTCCCCCCAGGCAGTCCTTCCACAGATGAGAAAGGCACTTTATGTGCCCACAACCAAGAGAGAAGTGGCCTTCACCATTGTGTTCCCCAGAAAAGGTATGGCTTCACTTTGAAACTTTACCATTATTTGCCAGGTTTAGAGGCTAGAAATATCTGAGCAAGTCACTTTTTAAAATAGCCTTGTGTTTTTCTGATTCTTAGACTGTCCATATACAACTCAAAATGAGTTTAAAAGAGGAACCAGTGTTAGGAACTTTATTGGTACAGAAATAAGGCTTTTTTTTTTTTTTTTTTGGTCTTATAGGACAATGTCTCATTCACAATTACCTGGAAAATTCTGTTTTCCCACCGTGTAAATACTTAAAAATACGAAAGGCTTAAGCTTTCTGATTCCTGTAAAGGGTTAAAATGGTATTTTGTAGTCTGTACATACCAAATGGATATTTACTGAGAATTTTAATTTATCCTTGAGATCCCTGATGAAAGCACCCAATTATAATTTAGCATACTGATCTTGACAGATAATAAAAAATGAATATATCTATCCATTTGATGAAATATTTGTAGTAAAGAGTTAAGTGCTACGTAATTCTAGGAAATTAAAATACTTTTTAAAAAAAAAAGATTATATTTATTTGACAGCAAGCGAGAGAGCGCACAAGCAGGGGGAGCAGCAGAGGGAGAGGGAGAAGCAGACTCCCTGCCAAGCAGGGACCCTGATGCAGGGCTCGATCCCAGGACCCTGGGATCATGACCTGAGCCAAAGGCAGACACTTAACCAGCTGAGCCACCCAGGCACCCCAAAATTAAAATATTCTAATAAAACAAACTTAATTAGTATGTTAAGAATATTTTGACATTTTTAGTCAATCTTGCATTTCCAAACTTGCATTATCTAAACTAGTTGAATTTGGCCGTGTTTGAAAAATCACTGTTTTCCTTGATATATTGCATTCCTGGGACTAAAGCTTCTCTGTAATTTGTTAAACTCCAAGCAGGTTTTAGCAGTCCATGCTGTTTATGGGAGATAAACTTTTATCCAAGCTCTGAAATAGTTTTCCGTATGATGATTCAGATAAAGTCTTTATAGAAACCCCCTAATGAAAACACTGAGGTACTAACTAGAAAAATGAGTCAACTTTTTGTTTCCAAAATGAAACAGCAGGAAAATCCTCAGGAGCTTTTAATCGCATATCACTATCATGGCAAACGATTATAAATCTGTTTTCTCTTTTACTGAAGTGTCCTTGTGGTTGCTATGTATGCCCAGAGCCAGAAAAACTCTTATCACAGGGAATTTCCCAAAATGGAAACATTTTTCGTGTAAGCGGCCAAAGATGTGTTTTTGTGTCTGTCTCGCCAAAGATGTGTTTTCCATCCAAGCAGTGAACATCAACCCCCAAGTTAGAGGGGACAAGACACCAAAAACGTCCCGTCTGCTGAGCCCTGAAAAGGATTCAGACAAGTCAGCCAGCGTTCACAGTTAAGAGAAAAACATCTGTGCTTTAGAAAATGTTAAGTACAGAGACGTGTTCTGTATGTCCACCAAATTTCCAAGAGATCTTTGTCGGAGGAGGCAGCCAATGGATAAGACCCCCTTCCTTTTCCTTCATGGTTGCCTGAAGAAATTCTCTGCCAGCTTCCCTAATAGCTACAAAACTATCTTGGCCTCATGGAGATGAGGTGCTGATCAGGCATTTGGGGTTTGTTCTGTTTTGTTTTGTTTTAATTCCAGTATAGTTAACATACAGTGTTATATTAGTTTCAGGTATGCAATATAGTGACTTAACGGTTCTATACATTATTCAGTGTTCATCAGGACAAGTGCACGCCTTAATCCCATGACCTACCTCACTCATCCCCCCACCCCTCTCCCCTCTGGTCACCATCAGTGCATTCTCTGTAGTTTGAGTCTGTTTTTTGGTACTTGGGGTCGGTTCTTAACACAAGGAAAGCACATGTGATTTTTAAAAGTATGTGGTTTGATTCACAGAACAACCTAAGACAATGTGCTTCTCTATACTTTGGTTTTTCCATTTAAAAGCTTACAGATGGATTAATTAGGTCATTTAAACCTGCCTGATGTAAGGTTTAGTTCAAGGCATGGAAGTGAAAACTCCGAGTATGCATACTTAGATTGTCACCAGTATCCGGGATGATTGATTGATGTTTCATGAGAAATCCAGGTTCCATTTTCCCAGAAATGGGCTGTTA